ATCAAGCTGCGACCTCAACTGGTCTTCACGAGTCCATGAAATTGGATATGGTCGTATGAACTGAGGCTGTGCTCCCTCCTACAAATCCAAGCTGATATCACCCCCGTTATATGGGTCTATACCTGCCTAGCCGCGGGGGATCTCCTCCGGAAATGAACTGATCGGCTTCGCCAATTCGTCTCGCTGAGAGCCACTGATAGGGGAGTCAACCACAAACTCTGAAACACATCATCAGTGGATTTCCCAACATACCAGCCGCTGCCCGCAGACACCGTGTCCACTCCTGTGACGTCACCGACGGTTCTCTGAGCAGGCTTGGGATGGCGCGTCTCGGCGTGGACAATCGGCTCTGCATAACCAATGACGCTCCGCCTATGCATGGTGACGAGACGACCCGATCGGTTGCGGATGTTCGTTGAGACCCTGTTGAGGTAAACGGTGTTATGGACGAACCGCACATTTCAACGTTACTAGAGCGTTGCCCCACGAACAAATATTCGCTCTCACACGACAGAGGCTAGTCAATCTTGACCGCCAAACACACAGCTGACTGCGGAGGGACATATGCAGCCTTCGCGAATTGCAGCTTTAACCTAACGCCAGTGCTAAAAACAATTCAACACAGCACTGTTGTTCAAAAGGAGATCCCATCCCAAAACTACAGGGTGCTAAAGGTTATGTACCACTGCGAACCCGGCTACAATGACCACTTCCACAGCTCCATGACCACTCCTTGCACTCCCCAGCCTCTATGTTGAGCGAACAAATATCCAACGCATTTAAATGATGGCCTGGCGCTGAGGACAGCCGGCCAGACGGCTTGAGCCGGACGTCAGGAGCAGTTACATCAAACACAGAGCTGTCCGTAAGGTCGACTGGACTGCCAGCGTCCAAAGGTGCATCCGTGTGGGAGGTCGTGACCGCGTCCAGACGACGCCGGCGATGACAGCGTCCGTCGCGCTCCACATGCACTGTGCCACTCTCCGACCGGTGCACGTGCGGAGAACAGTGCTGCTCACCTCGCAACGAGCGGGAGACGAGCTCCTCTCGCTTTAACTCGCCGACAACCGTGTTGAACAGCGCCACGCCCTGGTGCGACAGCAACATCTCCTCTTCAGCCGATAATTCCGCCAAAAGATAGTGATACATTACAGCTTGGTAGGCTGGAGCGCTGGTTTTGTTCACGTAATCAGATTGGTCAAAAGCTCTGAGCAAGTATTCTGAACAAGCCGCTTGATGAGGACAAGTACTCCACAACAGACTCGGTGCCTTTCTGAGCAGTGCTTAGCCGAGTATCCGCCATCTCCGGTTGTTTGCATCGAACATTTACTTAGAAATGAGAGCACATCCGTTTGGTCGTTACTGCCCTCCATGACCTGCAGAGCAAGTCTTTGGCACCTCACCGTCATGATTCTGGTGAGCTGTTCGGTAGAGATGTCGCCCAGTGCTGCCAGACGTTGGTACTGGCGGATGAAGCCAATGGGTGATACTGACCCATCGTAGACCAACGCAACACGAGCCATGGCCGCTGCAGACGCAGGAGTGGGTAGCTCGCCATCCATGGAACAAAGCCACTTTCCCGATATCAATGCCACCATGTCCCGGCCCGGCCCGGCCGACGGGTCACGAGGTCCACATTCGCCCGGACACTACACGAAACCTGAACGAGTTCTGTATTCAACTGCTCGCCACACGCACATTCCCGCTGACATCGGCGGCCCCAAACGTCCCGGGCCGTTCCTACGTCACGCTAGACAGAGGCAAAGCCGGAGGCAAAGTCAGAGTTACGGTAAGAGAGGGGTACCACGGTTAACAAAGAGCCTGATGGTGAAAAGGCAGCAGAGAATGCGTTCTCCAAATCATCCCAAAATGGAGTCGTTGGTCTCTTAGGTTTTTATGTTAAGCTTCTTTGACTGAAAGAGGATTTATCAGGTTTTCTTGATATTTTACAAAGATATTGAGAGCATCGTGGATTGTACGGCAGCGTACATCGAAGTAGGGTACAAAATTACATTAACATGTCCAGCCCTTGCTCGCCTGGGGATGTTGATCCTGCTATGGGATCCTGCGGCAAATCATTACATCAAAGTTTAAAACATGTGCGCACGCATTCTAGAGTGAAAGAACACCGACGCTCGGCGTTATAGTCTCCGTGGGCTTCGCGGCGCCAAACCCGCAGCTAACACCCGGCGGCGGTCAACGGGCAAGCAAACCGCACACCGGGAAGTGGTGCTTTCGAAGGCTTTAAGTATCGCATGCGAGTAAAAGGTATCCCGGTGGACACATTGTGCCAGAGCGACGTTGAGCTGGATACTCTGGACGGATAAGTCAATACAATACCACAGACTCACGACACAATGGGGTTACATCCATTACTGGTGTTATTGAAGCTGCTAATTTCGTTTAGAGAATCAGCCTCAAGAGTTCACAGTTGAAACTTCCTGAGCACGTCCTGAAGGGTTCTTTCAGTCCAGGCCAAGGTGCCAAGCAGCTACCTTTCAGGTGATACGGGACCGCTCCCCCTGGTCGGCCTGGAGGCCCTAAGAGGGATGCATCATGCACTGCGCGGGTCTCCTCCCTGGTACGACAGGTCCTCTGTGCGGAGACCCTGGCACCGGATCGGTGCAGCGGCCCTCACTGACACAAAATGGCCCATTACCGGCGAGGGAGGAGCAGTAGCTGACTTACCGGCGAGGGAGGGGCAGGAGCCGACTCACCGGCGAGGGAGGAGCAGGAGCCGACTCACCAGCGAGGGAGGAACAGGAGCCGACTCACCGGCGAGGGAGGAGGAGGAGCCGACTCACCAGCGAGGGAGGAACAGGAGCCGACTCACCGGCGAGGGAGGAGCAGGAGCCGACTCACCGGCGAGGGAGGAGCAGGAGCCGAATCGCCGGCGAGGGAGGGGCAGGAGCCGACTGCCACGTGAGTGTTCAAATTGGGCTGTCTTACATACATTTGATTTTAGAAAAGGCGTTGGAGCATTGCAAGTTTTTAAATTAGTAGTTGAAAAGAAGATGACCACAAAATCATTTAACAATCATTTACAATCAGACCCACAGCTCACGTGCGACACGCGCAGGATAGTCTAAGCATGAACAGAGAGGTCACCCACTGCTTCTTGATTAGGTTACCTGGCTGAGGCTGAGGGTATCCAACAAATCGTCGAATAACGCTGGTGCATAGAAAACTGCGCTTGTGCGTGCGGACAAAGGCACCGACACAAGGCGCTAGTATGCATGTACGAATAGTATTCTTCTAACTGAATTAGTACGACCCTGGCGGTCAAAGATACGCTGTTCGTCCAAGCAGCGGCGTAGGCACGCAGGATCTCGCGATAAGAGCGACAAAACTCAAAGTTAGGTGTTTGTTGTTTTTTCACTGAAACGCATTTTTAAGGCATCGCAGACGCGCGACGTCTGTTGTATGAGATAAACCAGCGTCGCATTTTATTCTACCTATTTTTACGTGCTCATGACGAATTTTAGTTTGATATTGAGTCAGGCAGATATGAGATAAGGGACGGACACGCAGAGCCAGATGTCACCATGTGCTTGTGTGTCCCCTGTGTTAAGCATCAGTGGCTGGACGAAAACCTGGGCTGATTATTCTCTCATTCCTAATTTTACCGAGG